GTGAAAACTGAACTAAGAGCGGATGGTAAGGGAATTAAGCTAACGCGTTTATGTAGAAGAAACAAAAATGAACAATGGTTTTTTACTGCTAGCCGCAAACGGAAAATCAATGAATCAATGTCTCTGTAATAAAAAAGGGGAAAAGGTTCTAAATGTAAAAATGGCAGTTCATCCCCGTAAACGTGACACATTTGCTCCTTTAACAGGCTGAAGCCGCTGCTGGTCAACCAAATGGTGACACCTTAAGTAGTTCAGGTTTGTAGAGCCGAGAGCGCATTTCGATTTGAGTGTACTAAAACCAAAACCAAAGAAATTACAATGGTCAAAAGTATCAAAGGAAATTATCGCAAGGAGCCGCCAATGACTCATAGCTAGAACTCAGGCCCCGTCCACACTGATGCGTTTTTGAAAACGCATTGATATGTACGCGTTTTGCCCTCCCGTCCACAATGATATGCTCGAAAACGCTGAGCGTTTTCATCGAAAACGGATCCTTTTGAAAACGCTGTTGAGAGTGAATCGTTTTGAAAACGCTACGAGCATCCGTAAGAGTATGAAGCACGGAAAGTCGCGATTGCTTGAAATTCCGCTGCATCTGATTGGTTAAAAGTGAGGGAATGGTGTGAGTACTGTGGGCCGATCAAAGAGCGCGGTGAAGAGACACAAACGCAATACAAACTCGGGTAACATTCGACTCTCAAGTGAAGCTTCTTCATTAATGATTTGTGATCTTTCCTTTAGTTCTGATCGCCCTTTGAGATTGCTTTGGTTATAATCTTATGGTAGACTTCCTTTTTTTGCAATTAGTTATTTACTAGCATCATTTTCGCCGTTGTTGTTTCAGAGTTCGACCAGTTTCTTGCAGACCGAGCCGCTGCAGGTGGTATGCGGAGTGGTAGCGTCAAGGGAGGCAATAATCGCCCCAGACAGAGACAAATGCAAATGGAAAACCAGGCAGATGATGAAATGTTCGGCTTATGAGTCAGTTATGAAGATACTTTATTCTTTCAGGTTACTACCTTGGTTTTGGAACGTTCTCCTACTGTAAAAAAAAAAAAACCTCTGCATTCAAATCATGGATGTCTGTTTTGTGACAAGAGTTTTAGTTGTTGACATTTTTGTAATTGATTTACTGTAATGGTACGCAACGTTTCATTTAATGAAAGATTGCGTTAAAACACTACAAAGGACTGCGAAATACGACTTAAAAGAAACATGGTCGAAATGAAATGGACGTCAGTGGGAAGCATGCAGAATGAAGGACACGGGAAGTAAGATTATAAATTTGGCGAATCCGATAGATTAAAGTTCACACGGCAACCAGGTGGACAATCAGACATGGGTTGATGCTAATCTCTAAGCAAGATTTAATGAATGTAACCAGGTCTATGAATTATAATTTCCCTGGCTACGTTCATTAAATATTTAAACCAAAGTAGCATCAAACCGAGTCTGGTGAATACGACTTGGGATGTCTTCCAGTTTCAGGTGGACAGATTTGGCCACGTGACCCATTTAGACCAATCACGCGTCAGCAAAAATATTTTTGATGGTTTTTTTTTAAGTATAATGATACTGTAACAAGAAGGGAGGTGAAAACCAGTTTTGGGAATACAAGAGATGATACGAGCACCGGGAGGCCAAAACTGCACTAATCGTCAAGTTCATTAAATATCAGATCAAAAGTGAAAACATGGCCTTAATTAGAATAGTTTTCAAGTTATATTCATTGCAGCCTATTTAAAGAAAGTAGAGATCGTGAGGTATGATTCTTTTCTTTCACAATTTTTGTTTGGTTTCGTCTCGTCTCGCGATAGCGTTGCCTTACGCGTCACGCGACTCGCGAGGAGGGGACGCGTTATATTTCGTGACTAAACAACGCTTGTGAAAGAAAATTCAGAGATCGTCGGTCACATTGTAGTAATGATCGTTCAGTGTTCAGTTTCAGTCCCTTTAAGAATTGTGAGTACTGTACGATAAGATTATAGACACAAACACTAAGATTCTAACTGATAGAACTTTTATTTTAGAACGTGTTATCAAATCAGAAAGAATTGGACTATATTAGAGTAATATTTAGGGCGTGAAGCGCATGATAAATTGTAATGAAAATGTGCACGAGACAGCTTGTATGAGAATACGAAAGTAAAAAAACATGTCCTTCTTGAGACGCAGTTCATCGCTGGAAAGCCCATGATAGGACATGCACTGCACACTGGTACACAAGCTTCGGAACTAGATAAGCTTGCAGAGGAATAGTTGTGGCTTTTTTCTTTATTTCTCCCTCTCTCGTTTTCTTTTCTTTCTTTCCTTTTTGCGCTTTTGAGGCGAGTAGAGTAAAGCACGAGGCGCACGCAAGGCAAGCGTTAGAGGTGATTCACGCACGGAAGGAGGAGCACAACCATAAAAAAAAAAAAAAAACTGTGTAGATGCAAATTTTCGCCTGTCGTGTAGCTAAAGGCCAGAAATGTCAAATTACGTAGAAAAATGTATTTTATGATCTTCATTTAGTAGATCCCTATAATTACAACTCCTCTGTGAATAGCTACCAGCGCCATGAAGGTCTTTCTGACAGGAAAGCGAGTGCCCGGAAGCTAGAAAGGAAGGAACCATTTTACAATACTTCGAGTCTTTTTAGTTTCATAACAGTTCAGTCCCAGGTCTCCACCGTCTATGCCAAATAGAGGAGTTCCAGACAGGTGTCGCGAGGTTGTTTACTCCCTGACAATTTTCCTCAAAGAGGCTGTCTTTTTTTTCTTTTCTTTTTTTTTTTGTTTAAACCTATCGAAAAAAACCAGTTTGAATAAAATTATATTCAGGTCAATTTCTTTTTTGATCACAATTTTTTTTCTTTTATGTCATACGTGATAATTACACATAGAGAATATTTCCCTGTCAAGGAAAACATTTTCGTATTAATGATCTGACCATCATAATTTTATTTAGGGGACTCCTGTTCCCAGTTACTTCGCGGGCACAGCTGTTTCTTGAGAAATTTCTTTTTAAAAGAATTCAAAACAACAAGGCTTTAAAAGAGTTTTGTTTCATTTTTGTTTTACTTCATTTTGTCTGTTTTTTCTTTAGTAAACTGAAAATAATTTTTTCCTTCAACTGAGTTGTCTTTTTGTAAAGGGGCGAGAGATAACAGGCGAGGTGCAAAGTACAAGTCTTGAGGTTTATAGTCACTAGCTGTCGAAGACGATGCGTCATTGGTCATGACTTGCCATCGCGCCTCACAGTTGACCAATGATATTCTGCTAGAAGAACTTTCGATTTTGCTACGTCATGTTCAATACTATCATAAAGTCCTAAAGTTTTAGGTTAAGAAGGAGACACAAAATAGGCTCCTTGGGTCTATAAAACACTAAAGAGATAAGTTAGATGATGATTTTGTCTGCAAGTCATTGCGCCCATTAGTGTCGACTAACTGCCATGTATCATAAATTTCTTGTGGAGTTCAAATTTTGTGCGCTTTGACTATAGGATCTTCTATCAGTAAATGTGTAGAAAAAAGAAAATCGGCAAATGAGAGGAAGCGAAAAAAAGCGATATGTTAAAAATGATGTTTCGACAGCAGACACCGTAAACGTATGGTAAACCCGTCTAGAATTGCGGAAAAATTGCACCTAAAAAAATTGCGCGGAAAGAAACTGGAAAGGATGAACCATTTTCAAAACACAAGTTCCCGCCTGTCATTTCAAAATTCGCGGTCAATATATCATCCAAATATGGTGATCTATTGTGCTCTTTGTCCAATCAGATTTTCTGATTGCCCTTTAAGACTCTTACCTCTGCGCCACTGGTTTGTTTTCTGCGCACATCGCACATGTTCCTTTCTTTGAGGGGAATGTTTTTAAGTTTAGATCTAGCATATCTTCCTAGTGTCTATGATTGATTTCCGGATTCGCTCCACTCAGAAACGCAGGATGTGCTCCTGGCCACACCTGAAAGACTTTAAAAAGGCTGATGGCTTCAAAGTCTTTCGAAAAGTCCACGCGCATTTCGTCTGCTGCGGCTCCCGTGAGGCAAGGAAACGAAAGGTACACATGCTTGTAAATTTCCGCAGTAGAAGCGAGCTGGCCCGTACGTCCATTGGCTGTATTTTATTTTCATACTTTTATTTGTCTTTCTCTCAGGCAAGCTTGTGTCACTGTCACGAATGTGGAACTTATTCAAGTCGGCTCCATTCTTGTCTTATGTGCGTCTATTTTGGTTGCTATACCGGAAACCGGCACATCCACCACCACGCAAAATCCACGGGTCACTCTTTAGGTACGGAACGCGGAACGAAAAAAAATGATACTTTGGTGCTCTATTCCATCATTTGTAGCATTCTCATTTTGTAATTTTGTTCTGCCCTTTCCAGCTTTGGATCTGACTCATGGCGTTATCTACTGCTTCGTGTGCAGGGATAATGTATACGATCTGGATTTGGAGAAGATTCGTGTCGAGCAAGCTAGCAGAGCTTGGAAAGCTCTTGGTAAGATTAAGGCATAGCTTAGGAAAAATGTTAGTTTATTAAGTGCTAGAATTTGTGGATTTTATATCCTAGCTTGGGGAAGGGATTAAAGATGTGTTTATAACTGAACACTCTTTCGAGTCCACTAGATGAAGAGGTACATCGATGTACTTAAACATGCAATTGCAAGACTGTGTATGTCTTTACAAATTTCCATATTTCGTTAATTTTGCATGCCGTTACTTGGTCTAGACCTGTCATGTTAGGCAGTGCAGGGGAAAAACAGTGGTTGCTTAAAACTGAACTTTCTTGCCGGTGACCGCAAAGAAACACAAATTCGTATTCGATTAATCTAAAGCCTCGTACTTCAGCTCCCAGTCGCTTTGTTGACATGTACAACTTTGACAGAACCATTCAAATTTTATACAATATCTGTTGATTTTTTTAATTACCACTAGATGCTGTGAATTTTTAGGCGGTTTTAAAACAAGTGCAGAAACATACAAACTAAGGAAGTTCTTGCCGACCTCTCGCCCAATAACACGAGGCTAACATTTAGACTTTGTAGAAGATACGAATTCCTTTAGAATCACTAGATTCGGAAAAAAGGACTATACGAATAAGCTAAGCTATAGATTATACTGACGCTAAGATGTTATGTAATTGCTATACATCAGGATCTGCCGTATCATTGAAGAAAAAAATTCTGAAAATGAATGTATATATTTGAAGTTTATTGTCGATATTGAATTGACCTTGACCTTGCGAAGTTTCTGTGAAGAAGGGGCTTTTTGTTGATTGCATTCTGGTTGAACACAGAAGAATCATAGTTCATTTCGATTTGAAGACTTATCCTTCAGATGTTATGATCTATTCATTACAGAGCATCTCTCGCACAATATCTACTCTTTCCTTTTCACTGGCAAATGATAAGCTGTTCTAATATTATGGCAGACTTGCTACTTGCCAAATGAGAATCCAGTTTTTACACCATCTGAGTTCTCTTTAATTCTCTGACAGATTTCCTGCACCTGTCATGGTTCCTTTATATTCTGTTGAGAGAATTAGACAAAAAAACAAATCAAGTCTTCGAATTCAAGGATTTTCGTGTGTGCATCCTTCTTTCATCTTAAATAACAACCATCAATGGTTGTAATAGTTGTCTAGTTTTTTATTCTCATTACTTCCTTCCCCTCTTTTTTTAACTCACTTCAGGCTTCCCTTGATGTTGCTGTTAAAACACCTAGCCAGATTGTACAGCACTGGCTCACTTCACATACATGCTTTCTTTTTGAATCTGGTTTGACCTGTTGAAGGTGACATTCCATATGAATCACACAAAGTTAATTTAAATTCAGAATGGGATGCCTGTCTATTGAGGATTTTTGCAGAAGTTTGATGTCCTCTGGACGATGGGCTGCATGGCTTGAAAGACCTACTATTATGCAATTCTGTAGTTATATTTGAATGGTGTTGTGTGTGTTTTAATCAGTTTTTCATTTCTTCTGATTCTTTTGTTTTAGCTGGACATGGTCTCAGTAAGTATGTTCCATGGGAACCAAGTAAAGCTGAACTACAACTGCTCAGAGAAAACAAGAAAAGAATAAAGCTAGAAACAAACTCATTCATAGGTAACTTGTCATCTTCTGGTATTTCACGGTAATACTGCAAAGATCAATTCTAATCATTTATTAAGTGAATATACCGGTACACCATGGGCATAAATATTCTGACTACACCCAGACGAGATATTCAATGTGAAAAGTTTATTTGGGATGATTCAGCCGGTCTTGTAGTATACGCATCCTAATACAATCTGCAATGCACTGCATGTATTCACTGAAACTAATTAAAAACAATCTACAAAGAGCCTGTGCTACGCCAGATACAAAAAAAAAAAAAAAAAAAAAACTAAAAAACCACTCTTTAGAAGTGGCCAAAAAATATATGGAAATGTATTCCTCATCTAGTGCAGCAGCACAATACCTGAGGAAAAGTTAATTAAGCTAGTTTAACACTACTAATCACACAGAAAAATCAATGAATATAGTGATATTTTACAGAGAGTTGTAAAAAAAAATGACATTAAATAAGAAAAAAGGTGGTCAAACCTAAGACTGACCAACCCAGAATGACTTAATTTTCCCGTGAAATGCCTAAATAATCTGAAACTACCAACCTACCAAACCTCTTCAATGTACCATCACAATATTAATTTCTGACCAATTTGTTCCCATATCATTCAAACATCAGAAATTACATTTTCCAAGAGAGATCAGTGTGCCATTTCTTCTTACTCTATTATCATGCAGATAAGTTATGAGAATTAAGAAAATTATCAAATAGAGTAAATGGTCTCGATATAACACCAAATTCTCCGAACCATGTAATTAGGAATTGTATGTAAGATCTTGAATTGTTCTTTGTTGTAGGTCTCAGGGGACTCATAAACCTTGGAAATACTTGTTTCATGAATTGCATTGTCCAAGCACTGACCCATACTCCATTGCTAAGAGACTATTTCTTGTCTGATCAACATGTCTGTGCCGGAGACAAAGACCAGTGTATTGTTTGTGAAGTTGGCTCAGTCTTTCAAGAGGTAGTAGAAAATAATTTTTCTTAGGTATATGTTTATGAAAATCTTCTGATGAGTAGTATCAAGTAAAGCAGTAATTCTTGCAGGTACTGTATGCTGCAATTTAAGAAGTTGAACCTGTGCTTAACATTTGGGCTCTATTACAAACTCAGCCTTGATGGTACTTGTTGGTAGCAAGGCAAATTTTAGAGGGTTCATCTTTCCTGTAGAGAAATCTGATCAAACTTTTAAATTTATTTAATTTAAAATTGTGATACACTTAGAAGTATCAATTAAATTGATAACTATTCTACATGCAATAAAAGAGATACCAGCCTCAGGAGATTTTTCCAGTGCTCCACCAAATCTGCCTTTTTTGACGTATCTTTCCCGAAAATTACTGTTTGTTGATACCTTGAGATTAAGACTGCTGATTTAAAAGATAGATTTTTGTTACAAGTTTTGCAGTTTTCCAAACTGCCTAGATGTAGGAAAAAGATTGCAGAATGTCACATGTTGCCTAGAGTGATTTGGGAGATAAGTGTTGAGAAACTGGTTTTGTTTTGTTATGGTGGAGAGCTACAGAGTTACACTTCATTCATTTCATTAACTGAATTGTTTTGGTCAATTTTCAGTTTTATTCAGGACAAAAAGTTCCACATACCCCTTTTAAACTGTTACATCTTGTGTGGACTCACGCCCGTCATTTGGCAGGCTATGAACAGCAGGATGCACATGAATTCTTCATAGCTGCCCTCGATGTACTTCATCAGTATTGTAAAGGTATGCTAACATTTAACATAACACGATTAAATTTCAGAAATTGTCACGTACCCACAGTCAAACTTGAGGGGTCTTCTTCCCCTCCTTGTCTTTTGATTTTCCTTGTTCTATTTACTGATCAAAGTGATATACCACCTACAATATAGATCTTTGCTATCTCAAGATTTTCCAGTCAGTGGTGTTGAGCAGTTTCCATCTGGGAGTTACAAACTTAGACAAAATAAAAGAAACACCACAATCACCCCCCCCCGGCCTTCCCTCTTCCCCTGTTTCCATTAGGTCAAAAGGATGTGGTTTACTTGGTATGGAAGGGTAAGAGTTAATTTTTCCATTTTAATTTGTCCAAGATTGTGGCTTCCAGTATTATGAAAGATTTCCAGGCACTCATTATAAAGATAGACAAAATAAGTTTGTGATTTTATGCCTCTTACAAAGAAGAGGAGGTCTGTTGAGAGAAAATACAGAATTCTCTAGATTGATCTTGTTCAAGCCTTGTGACTTTCTCAATCTTAAAACCAAAGAAGGTCAAAAAGCTGATTTGCTTTTTTCAGTAAAATGGAGACTGCAAAACCTGCTGAGCCAGTTGACAAAATGACTACTTTACTTTTTACCCTGCCCTTAATAGACAAGAGGACGGGATGAAGAAAGTCTCAAATCATGAGAACTGTTTCTTTTAGATGATGCACCAAACAAGGACATCTTGGTTCCTAATAATCCCAACAGATGTAACTGTATAATTGATAGAATATTTACTGGTGGCCTGCAGTCAGATGTTACTTGTCAAGCTTGCAAGTAAGTCATTTACCAGATGGGGTGCAGGGATGATGCAGTGGTGAGAGAGCTCGCCTCCCACCACTGTGGCGTGTGTTTGATTCCTGGAGCTGGTGTCATGTGTGGGTTGAGTTTGTTGTTGGTTCTTGTCCTTGCTCTGAGGGTTTTTCTCGGGGTCCTTCGGGTTTCCTCCCTCTGCAAAAACCAACATTCCAAATTCCAATTCAATCTGGAGTTGAGTGTTTTTATGAGCCGCTGGCTTGGATGATTGTAACAGATCTAGATATTAAAGAGCTCTTTCTCTTTTTTTATGCACAGAGGGTAAGGGGGTATATCATTATTTGAGTTTATAGGTGATAGTCTTGTGAATTGCTGTGTATGATTTTCTCTTGTACTAATTGTAGAATGAATGTTTGACCTTGATTTGTTAAATCTGTTAACATGTTTCAATCTGTGTAACCAGACTCGTATGATTTGGTTTTGAAAGATTTGTAGACCAGATGGAAACTTGACAAAAGTTAAATGCCAACAACAAACTAGAGCTTCATGATACGTACCATAATGTGCAAACTAACCCAGTACCACGCAGCTAGGGCAAAAACTAAATATGATGTATTGCAATCAACACTAATTTAGTTGTTTCTTCCTTAGGTGCGTTTCAACTACCATTGACCCATTCTGGGATATCTCTCTAGACCTTGGAAATGTTGATCATAGTAATGGCAGAAGTAGTTCTGGTGCATCAGCTGCATCAACTCCAGACCCCACCCCTCCAGGTAAATTACAATTACAGTAGATAAATCACAGCATAGGAGTGACAAATCAGTATTTTTGAAATTCAAACATTTTTTATTTCTTTCCTTGCTTAAACAATCAAAAAAATTTGATTTTGACTTTTGTCCTTTTCCATTTGGTTGAACCTCTTAAACTACAAATTTGTACCTCGGGTACAAAACTGTGTAAATAAGATGGGAGAGCATAGACTAAAGGCAAATTTTTAAATCCAGGCAAGGGCAGAGCAAAGCAGTGGTGTTCCTAAGCACAAGCAACCCTCTCCTTGTCAAGAAAATTTGACTCCCATGAGCAATGAAGACAGAATTTCTCCTTACAATATCAATTCAGTATTAAGTAGACAAGAGACGAGAATAGAGAAAGATATCAATTAGGGGATTATTAGCAGATCTAATACTAAGTTCTGTGGTTGAACATCATAAGAATTGTATGGCAGAAAGTATGAAGAATTACTATTGAGATCTCGAGATGCTGTTAAGGGACCCTCTACTTTAAAGTTTTATCCATGCCTCTGACAAAAATATTACCTGCAATTTTTCACTTGCCTTGTGTGTGCATGATATTCAAAGTGTGTTGGAATATATGGCTGAACTGGCTAAATTTGTTATTGTTATGCAGATGAAAATGGTCAGCCAGCCCCAGAGAACAATCATCATGATGAAAGCTTTGTTCCCAAATCGCTTATAGAGTGCTTGAGAAGGTAAATTGATGTCAAGAATTCTTTCTTGCATGGCCATTTAGAAAACCACTAGAGCTTAGCATTCTTGGTTATCTTATTATAGTAGACCATGTGGTCATGATTTATTGTTGACATGCTAGTGAAATAATGAGTTCTTTCATTTTAAGATTTACAAGACCAGAAAGGCTTGGAAGTGAGGCAAAAATAAAGTGTAGTCAGTGTCAGACATACCAGGTAAGTGTATGGAAAGCTACATTGCATAGAGATACCAACAATGGTGGCTCAAAATGGTTTAATCTTAGATATATGTGCTTGAAGTAAATGGTTTGAACCACTGAACCAATGGGGGTAACATGTGAAAGTGTTGTGTGATTGTCTGGGTGAGTGTAGTCCTGAGAAGGACTGTTGTCAGTGGTGGTGACTGACGTTTTGACAACCTGTGCGGAAATCATCATCAGAGTCAAGTGAATAGTTGTTATCAGTAGAATATTCTTAGTTCAGTTCATGTAAAATGATTGGTCACTCTGATGATGATTTTGGTACAGGTTGCCAAAACATCAGTCACTACCACCGACAACAGTCCTTCTCAGGACTACACTCACCTGGATGATCACGCTACACTTTTCACAATTATGTGCTTGCAACTTAACCACCAATGTGTGTAAGAATGGTAGGCAGAGAGTCACCTTGAATTGCAAAGTAGAGGTTGCTATCCCTGTAACAGAGGGTATATTAATCTTTGAATTAGTCTTGAATCTCTTTCCAATACAGGACATTTGTACTCCTAACCAACAGATACCAAACCTTGTTTTTGTACAGGCTTTGCTTATGGAGGTTCTTTTTTATCATTTTCATACAGGAATCTACGAAGCAGTTAACAATGAAGAAATTGCCCATAGTAGTCTGTTTTCATTTTAAGGTAACATTGGCCTCTGATTATCATTGTCATGGCAACTATTGAAAGTTAAACTTCAGAGTAGAATTAATCCACTCCTTGGTTATGCTTCAAGTCCATCTCAAAGACCATACATGAAAGAAGTGGTTGCCCAATAATAATTGCACCAGTTCACATTGGCATTGTTTTTTGCCTTTGTGCCAGACTCCTCATTCTTGCAGTGCATCTTTCAACCTAGGTTTGACTAATACTGGTAAACTGATAAGAAATTCTATTGAAACTGATTGCAAGAATTTTTCGGAATAACCTGTGATAGATGAGCAATTCATAAACAAAGAGCAGGGATACATACATACATACATACATCACCTTTATTTCACCTCGGATTTACAAGAGTAGCTGTATAGCTAATTTCTCCGAGAAAGAGAAAAAGAAAAAATTAAGTAAATAAATAAGTAAATAAAATATATAAAAATAAATAGAATCGTATATTATATACAGTACTTTACACTACTATTTACATAAGTAACAATTGCATTTATGTTCAAAGAAAAATTTAATGTTCGAAAGAAATTTGACATATTTTAGTTCTAAACTCTTTCAACGACATCAGTGACCTCAGGTCCTCTGTTAGTTTGTTCCACATGTTTGCAGAATTGTATCTGAAGGAGTGAAGACCATAAGTGTTTGTATTGACATATGGGATAACAAGTTTCCATGATCCTGGTAGGTTGTATTCAGTACTCCTCATTTGAAAAAGTCTACGTATATACTTCAGCATTGTTAAAACTCTTTTCATCATGTCTTGGCACCTAATACTACACAGTTCGATAACTAGAATTAATTTTGCTCAGTAGCTCCTGGTAGTGCAGAGACTTCTCATCCAGAACAGTCTCAAGCACCCTTTTATTCAGATGCTCTAATTTATTTCCAGTTCGAGCCCCGCAAAAGTGCCAAACTGCTGAGCAATATTTAAAATATGGAACAATAAAGGCCTTGTAAAGTTTACATTTCACATCCGTGGGTACTATTTTTCGAAAATGGGAAATTACATTTATTTAATTTGATTGTTGACCTTTGTACAAATGTTTTTACATGGCTGTTCAACTGCAGATTCTTGTCAATGTTCACTCCTAAGAGGTTAATGTTATCTTTTACCGGATTATTGGTGTCATTCACTGTAAAACTGAAGGTGTAGTTTGTATTCCCTAAAATCATTGTTTGATATTTGTCAGGATTTGTAATCATGCCATTTATACCAAACCATTGGTAATGTTTAGTGAGTCACTTAATGTATTGGACACCAGGCTTTTCCTTAGCAGCTGTTAAGCATTAGAAGTTTAAATATACAAGACTAGTTTTTCCAGGTAGCCCATACGAGGCCTTACAGTATATTGATGATTAGCTTTTAGCCTTCTTAAAGTCATCAAACCTCCCATAATTAAATTTTTGTTTACTTTTAAATTTGTCTTGGTTGTCTGTTTGCTTGCAGCGTTTTGAACATTCAAAGAAATCTAAGAAAATTTCAACGTACATTCCTTTTCCTCAACAATTAGACATGGCTCCATTTATGGCATCAAGGTGCGTGACCCTGCAACAATGCATATTGATGTAATTAAAACATTTTAATTACCAACTGAGGTAGACAGACTGTCTGACAGACAGATAGACTTACAGATAGATAGACAGACAGAGAGACAGATAGACTGGGAGATGGACTGACAGACAGACAGATAGATGGACTGACAGACAGACAGACTGAGCGACAGATAGACACAGACTGAGAGACAGATAGATGGACTGACAGACAGACTGAGACAGATAGAGAGACAGAGATAAACAGACTCGAGTGACAGATAGATGGACTGACAGACAGACTGAGACAGATAGAGAGACAGACAGATAAACAGACTTGAGCGACAGATAGATGGACTGACAGATAGATGGACTGACAGACAGACTGAGACAGATAGAGAGACAGACAGATAAACAGACTTGAGCGACAGATAGATGGACTGACAGA